CCCCAAAACCCCAAAACCCCAAAACCCCAAAACCCCAAAACCCCGATGTTTATTAATATTTTTGAAACTGGTTAATTTATCTATAAAGGAGAGTAAAAATTATTATAGATTGTGCCTTCCTAATCCTCCTCCTTTGCCAAGTCCACCGCCTCCAAGGATTCCTAAGCCTCCTTTGGAGAGACCACCTGCTTTATTAAGGCCACTAAGACCTCCTGGTTTGGAAAATTTGTTGAGGGTTGGTAATTCTTGATCAGAGTTTTGAACTCTGCTTCTTCCTCCATAGCCAGAAAGGCCTCCCCCAGAAGGAATGTTACTTCTATTACTTCCTTTTGATCCTAGTCCTGATCCTAGATTTCTTCTAGATCCAATACTGGCTCCTGAGCCTAGAGCTTGACGATTTGTTACGCTTGGGAGTTTACTAGGATCTTGTTCTCCATTTCTTTGTGCTAAATATTTTGACATGCCACCTCCTGCATTGTTATAACCACCGTATGAAGGTGGCTTGACTGCTTTAGAAGAGCTATCCTTTCTAGATGGATTGGAATAGTTATTTAAACCTCCTCCGCTTGCGTTGTTGTACATTCCATAAGCATTAGAAACTCCTCCTGGTTTTGAAAGTCCTCCAGGCTTTGAAAGTCCTCCAGGTGCATAATTTTGTGCGCCTGACATTCCTTGGTTGTTCCGATAATATTTGTTTAGAATACTTCCTGCTCCACTGTCAGGCTTTCCTATCTTTGAGCCAGACTTCGGGTTATGGGCACTATCTATTTTATTTCCAGTGCCTTTATTCCTTATATAAGAGCCGATTCCTCCCCCGCCATATCCGCCTAGGCCTCCTTGAGGGATTTTATTAAAGTAGCTATTGACTGGAGATTTCGTAGGGAGTTTCCCTGGAGCTTGGCCCTTATTTCTGTAGAAGCTATCTTTATTGATATCCCTAGAGCCAAGCTTTGATTTTCTACTCTCAAGTCTCTTAGAAACAGCACTCGGCTTCCTTACTGATGAATTAATTTCATTTGATTTATTAAAGAAACTTTTGTTTGATTTTCCATAAACTGAACTTTGCACTGGAGGGACAAAGTCTTTGAAGAATTCATGCTCCATTCACTCTGATGCAGTAGGTCTTTTATGAGGATCAAATTCCATCATTTTTTCCATCAGATCAATAGCTTCATCAGATGCATTGGGAATAATAGTTTTGAGTGATGTTGAAACAAACTTGGGGAAGCTAAATCCTATCTGAGATGCCAGTTTAAACCCTTCAGGCCAATCTGTCTTGCTGGGACTACCCAACACAGCACAAGTTTTATAAATTTGATCTGTCTCATTTTGTCCAGGGAATAATGGGCGTAGCATGTATAATTCGGCCATGATTGCGCCCATCGCAAAAATATCAATAGGAGAATTGTAAGATGTTGATCTCAATAAAATTTCTGGTGCTCTGTACCATCTAGTCGACACATAATCGGTAAATGGAGGTCTAGACCTTATCTCTCTAGCAAGCCCAAAATCAGCGATTTTAACAATCTCTCCTGTAGCCAATAAATTCTCAGGTTTTAAATCTCTATGGAAAAATCCATGCTTGTGCATATAAGCAAGTCCTTCAAGGGTTTGGTAAATAACGCTTCTGACTTGCTCTTCTGGAAGGTCAGTAGTCCTATCTTTAATCATTTGATAAACATTCTGGTCAAGATACTCGAACACAAAGTAGAGATCATCATTAGCTCTGATGACTTCCTTGAGTTTGACTATATTTTTATGATTGAGTTTCCTAAGAGATTTGATCTCTCTGAGGGCCATGCATTCCTCCCAACTATAAAACTTTTTCTTCATTTTATTTAATTGCGACTACTTCTTGGGTTTTCTTGTTAGTTGCCTTGACTACGCTTCCGTAAGCACCGTCTCCTATGGTTTTAATAATCTTGTATCTGTCCATTTGAATTCTAATAAAATTTTATTATCAATTTTTTAAAGATTATTTGGGGTTTTGGGGTTTTGGGGTTTTGGGGTTTTGGGGTTTTGGGGTTTTGGGG